TTTCATGGGCCCCTCCCCCCCCCCCACCCCCCGTGGTTTTCTTTCATTAACAGTGATGCATGGAATATGATAATACTGGAAAACAATTAACCTTCAGAGAAAGTCAAATAAGACATAGCTTGGCACCAACCATTGCTATGTTGTACTGTTGAAGGCAGGTACAGTAAAAAAAGTGAAATGAAAGTCAGAAACCATGTCTGACTTTAGTAAGTACTTCTGCCATTTTGAAAACATAAATTCCAGGCAGTTATTTCTATATAAGATCAAAATAAATAGCTACTCCAAGAAAAGAAATCTGTAGGATTCATTTCTACATTTGCATTTGTTTTAATCTTTTCCTTTTACTGCTCATATTAACTTCTAAAGCATCTTGAACAACTTGCCCAATTATTCAGCTTTCTTCCTCTGTCTCTTGCAACTATAATTCCTACATTTGGGAAGCTGCAGACGGACCATGAAACATGCACTGGGGCAGTTAATTTGGCACACAGTCTGCTCCAAAACACTGTCTTTCCAGAAGGGATTAAAGAAGTTGACTATGGATCTGGTGATTCCCAATCACCTCACTTCTGCTGTGCAAAGTGGGAAAGGATTAGGGTTAACGTGTGTGCAAGTGGTACATGAGAGATGTGCATGAATCCTGACAGTAAGCAAAAGGGGACCAAGCTCTGCACTTCCAAAAGGTCAGGCTGTGTGCCCAGGGGAGGCAGTGACATGTCGCCCTTCTGTAGGGCTTGCCAGAGGCTGTGTTATCCACCCAGATGGAAAAGCTGGTTACTCTTTCTTTAAGGAATTGCTTTCACAGGTAACAGATGAAGCAAGGGATGACAAATGAATCTGGCAAAAGCCTGTAATATTTGAGCAGGTGACTGCGCCATTCCACCAGACGCTGCTCTCAGCTACAGGATCAGAAATTCTGATGGCATCATTCTTGTTAGCAGAACCAAAATGAAATTAAGCTTTTCTGTAGTGGCACAATGCAATAGATTGGTAGACTGAAGACATGCTGGCAGTTGTTTCCTTTCTCTGTTATCGGGTGTTTTTAAAACAACATTATTCAGTTCTCCTGACTTGGGAAATAATGTTCATCCATAGCCCATATGGTCCACACTGGTACAATTTTACAGCTTTTACACTATGACAACACTAGAATCTAGGAGCCAGAGAAGAATTACACCTTCTCTATAAGACAGACCAGTGTTTTGTATGTGAAATATCTAACTAGGTCTGTCCAGGAACAAAAAAGAGATCAGATTCTGATCAAAGCTATCGTAGAGTAAATCCAGGATAATTCCATTGAAATTAAATGGAGTTGTTTTGGGATTAAGTGACTATAATTGAAATTAAAATGCTAACTAATAAGTATTGGAAAAGAAATGCGTAAGGTAAGGCAACACTAGGCTGAACATAAGAGGATTTTGGTGGAAATCCTCTCCATGGAAACTAGAGCAGAGGTGGATGATGCACGCCTGTGCGAGCCTCAGACTGCTGTAGAACAGGGACGCAGGCAGGATCCACATCCAAACCCAGGAGGGGTTAAATGTTCCCAACAGCCCAGAACTAGATGCAGGTCCCTCTAGACATTTGTGGGGAAATGTTGCCAAAACCTGACATTCAATTAAACATTTTTCAGATTACGGGTATTAGTTTTAGAAAAGGCTGTTGTCCAGATACCAGAACTTCTGGGAAAATTTAGAATAAAGGTTAATTTAAAATATCATAAATGCAGTAAATGTTATTTTATTTTCGTTTTTAAGGAAGTGATGTAAGTAAATCTTCCAAGGAACTGCAGTGACAAGACCCATGGAATTACATTTCCCCATGGCCAGCTCAGTACAGAAATCTGAAGTTCACAGTCCTAGTTTCTCTGAGGTGATTTGAACATGTAATTGGTGCAGAGCTTCTTAGGGTTCATGCTCACGTACCCTTTTTTCCCCACTTGGTAGTTCCTTCATAGACTATTAATGTTAGGTCATCTGAGAATGAAATCTGGTCTACATTATCAACTCCAGAACAAAAGTGTTGAAAAGAACATTCTGAAAGAACATAACTGCTGTTTCTGTTCTGTAGCTTTGCAACATACCTGTGAGTGAGAAGTTCTGTATTTATGAATATTTAATGTGTGAGCCTGGATTTATTGTGCCTTGTGTGCAAAAGCTAATGCAGTCTGTGGCGATTAATACTGTTTGATGTTAAAAATAACTACCAAATATCAGAGCTGTGCTTTAGTAGAATATCCACATCTCAAGGGAGACAGTGAGGCTGCTGGAGAAGGGGGGGGAGAAAAGTAACTCCTCAGTAAACATACATTTGGGGTTCTTTTTAAACTAGTAGGGTGCTAGTACCATACTTACATTCTTCATAATAATGAAAAATTATAAATATATTTTAGTACTGATGGTGAACTATTGAAAAGATGTATTTATGAAAATTTGAAATTTGAATTATGAAAATTATGAAAATATATTATACTCTGAAACGCATTATAATTATTACATTTCTAATTTTCTCTTGCCTTTACATATAAGATTCTGCTCATGGTTGTTTTGTTGCTGTCTCCTCTAAGGATACCGTACTTACGAGTGGTACTTACATTGCACTTGCCTTAACAACAGCTGTCTAAACCTTGAGACGTGTGAACTTGAATTGCTCGAAGACAGGAGCATATGGGAAATAAAACTGAGAACCCTGATGACCAGGGTGGTGGAGGCAGATTAAATAACCATTGATGGCTAAAATCTACATAGCATATGTAGAGTCTGTATGAACTAAATGGAAAAATAATCAGATGTTTAGTGCATTTTTATTATAATTTGTTGAGTTCCTTTAAAATCTGTATCCAAGGCCTACTAAATGGACACGCAGGTTGTAATTGGCAGCATTAATAAATGGAAATAAAACTATGACTATTGTCTGTGTTTGCTCTTAAGAAAGCTTTTCCCATTTTATTCATGCCATATGCGCTGTAAGGAGTCCAACTTGCCCACTTGGTGGGGGGAAATCAGTGCCTTTTCCTCAGTCTCTCAATGCCTGGCCAAACAAGAATTCTGGAGCTGGATGTGCCACTGGAGCCAGCTGCTCCACTTCGGCTTTGGTTTCCTGTCCAGGCACCACCGGGTAGGACCAGGCAGCATCCCACTCCACTAGCCCTGCCTACCCACAGCCTGCGTTCCCCAGGGCGGCTGAGCCGTGGGCTCCTTCCCTCCCTGCCCCTGCGCAACCCAAGGGAAATTGGGCGAACACACCTTGGGGGAAGTGTGATGGCAGCAGCGTTACCGGCTACAAATGTTAGCCCAATTTGGTCTCAGATGATAACTTGCTAGCAGTGCAGACGGTTTAATACGCTGTTTGCACTAATGGTATTACAAGCTTGATGTAGAACAAAAACCTGACAGTAACAAAAGAAATGTTTCTCATGGGAAATTAAATGTTCACCCACACAGAAGTGACGGTGTTAATACCAGAGGCGTAACTGCAGCGTAGCGTGATAATTTGCATCTAGATCCATGTGCTAATTTGAACGTGGGCTGGTTCGATCCAGTGAGGGACTCCACGATGAGATTCAGTTCATGGGACACATCCACCTGGGCCACCATCTTTTGCCATCCTGTTACCTACCTCATCCCTCTGCCAGAGTCCTGTAGCAGAGCGGTGTTAATACCAGAGGCGTAACTGCAGCGTAGCGTGATAATTTGCATCTAGATCCATGTGCTAATTTGAACGTGGGCTGGTTCGATCCAGTGAGGGACTCCACGATGAGATTCAGTTCATGGGACACATCCACCTGGGCCACCATCTTTTGCCATCCTGTTACCTACCTCATCCCTCTGCCAGAGTCCTGTAGCAGAGCTGTTCTCCAGGAAAGGCCTGTTCAGCAGCT